ACGGGAATTCGAACCCGCGACCCTCAGATTGCGAGTCGAGCGCCCTAATCACCTGGCCATGCCGGGCCACCTAGAACTGACTTACAATGTTCCTGCAAAGCGACAATTCCCTTTAGCTGAAGGGGTGACTGGAGGTGCAGGTGATGTTGAGGGTGATGCTGGTGCTGTGCCGTCACTATTATCATCTTCATCGTCCTCAGAAATAGAAGGGAGAGTAAGAGAGTGGACCCCGTTGTTCTCTTCTTGCTGTTTATAGAATAATAAAAGTCAGTTGTTTTTCATCTATTATAAAATAAAACAATTTGTAGACCAGGTAAACTTAATAACTTAATACAAGATACGAGTCATTCCGGAAGTTCGTAGATGAGAAATCAAATTAAATTATTTCAGTACACGTTAGTTTTAATATAAACAGGAGGGGAATCCTCAGTAGCCGCGGCACTTGAAATTCTTTTAGACACGATTAGAGTAAATTAATCTATTAGATTTTTTTCCTTATTATTAGCTATATTTTTTGTGCGACAGCAATACCAAGCGTGGGGCGCAAATATACCCGATTCATTTTTATTATTCATCGGGATATCTACCGGTCTACCATCAAATTGAAATTCTTTTAGGCAGGATTAGAGTATATTAATCTATGAGACCTTGGGCGTGGTCAAACACATCAGTCTAAAGGGTTTGATCTCTTGAGTCCAAAACCGTAATTAGATCTCAAATCGATCATGAGATAACTGAGCTAAGAGCTAAAAGTTTGTACTTAAAAAAACAAAAAAACTCAGAACCATTCTATGAGCCGCTATGCCGCGGATAAAAATATATTTTAAATATTAACCGATATAATTTTAATAAGAGGTATATTATATATATATTAAATGAGTACATTTTTAGTTTTTAGTTTGTTTGTTTATTGTTGAGCCCAAAGATATACAATGGGCTATCTGTGTTGTGCTGACCACGGATATCTAAACCTGATTTCTAGCTTTATAAGTCCGCAGGCTTACCGATGTGCCACTGGAGTAAAAAAGTTATTTGTTGCCCTCTTATTTCACTTGACGAGTCGTCTTCGTCAATTATTAAAAGCGCAAAAAAAATGCTATCACATAACGACATTTCTGTACTATTCAATACAGAGGAATCATGTCAAATCTATGTAACATAAAGCGTGCTTTAAATTGGTTAGGCGACGTATTCATGCTTCTCTGAAGAAGTGTTTATGGAATAACAACCAATTTCATTGGATTATGTTAATAATGCTACAGCAGTTAGTTTTCAGTCAAGTTAATAAACCGACAGAAGTGCTTAATAGTAATGACACATAATTACTGAACTTAATTAGAAACTGCACTGATTCGTCAGTTTCATGACATCTATATTAGAAACTTCCATCATTTTAGTTTAAGAAAGAAACAGGTGTCTTCCATTCAGTGGGTCGTTGTCTTTGTTGTTAAAAAAAGGAATTATGCAAAAATGTATAATTACAGTTTGATTTCAACATTGAATGGCTATTAAAAGATTCCCAGGAAAAAGCTATAGGGATTGTATCGTAATACACTTATATAAATATAATATGATTTATTTTAAGCGTGACCCTCTTTTGTAGAAACATTTACAATTTATTTAGTACAATTTGGCAGCTACATTTTAGCAAACTGAAACGAAGATTGTTTTTAATATTCAAGTCAATATTTTTTACATGTGTATGTTTTTCACAAAATACCTTTGCCATGTAATGTTTTATCTTGTAAATTATAATAAACATTAAATATCTTATAATAATTTTCTTTATTTTCTGGTACGTTTCAAAAATATTAAATGATACTCAATACGCAAATAAAACGTTAATTTTCATAGCCAATTGCAATATTTTATTTGCGTATTGAGTATCATGCAACGAATTTGTTATTATATATTTATTTTAATATCAGCGTTTGGTTAGGTTAAACTGTTAAATATGTATTGCGAAATTCCCGCCTGTTCTCCAAAGTTGTAGAAGATTCTCGAGAATAAGAATCATCAATATATGTATATGTGTAAACGCTTAAATGTCGCTCAGTATTGTTACGTAATCTGAATTTTCTAGAAAACTTTCCCACGCCTATAAGTATAACCAACGCGACGCGCCAAAGGAGAGTATTTATTATTAGTT